ACTGAATCCTGCCAATAGACACATCCATGTGTCCATTTTTAGAGGGGAACACTGAGGCCCAGTGCAATCACCTTCGTTTTTTCGAGGCAGGGTTTCTCTTAGTAGCTTTGGAGCCTGTCCTGGAACTAGCTTTTGTAGACCAGGCTGGCCTTGAACTCACAGAGATCCTCCTGCCTCTGCCTCCCAAGTGCTGGGATTAAAGGCATGCGCCACCTCTGCCTGGCCGCCCTTGTTTTAAGTCAGGTTCTCCTGTAGCCGGGGCTGGCTTTGAATTCCTGGTTCTCTGGCCCCCACCTGCCCAAGATGGGAAGGTGCTCACAACCCCTTCTGGTATGTAGGGTGCTAGAACTTACGGTTTCATGAAGCATTCTGCCAAATGAGGCACATTCCCAGCGCCAGTTCTTCCTCTTCACTGAGTATATTTGAGGATAGGGACCAGTGTTGTCCAGCTAAAATAGTAAGCACATGGGAGTGTATGACACTTACTTGACTATGCAAGGTCACTTTTTCTGACATCTGCTTTTCGGGGCAACAGATGTTTTTTGTTGTTTGTTTTGGGTAAGAAGTGCTCAGTATACATGGGCTGTGGGTGATGGACAGCTCTTGGTCAGGGTGGGACTCAGAGGTAGATTGCTGGCCTAGAATCCCCCGGCAGTGGAGTGCTTTACCTAGAATTCTTAAGGCCCTAGGTACCATCCCTAGCAACATCAAACTCAAACAGCACTTCTTGCTGGGCCATTGGCCTGAAACCTCATTACCTTTTCCAGAGGTCACCAATGGGGTGTGTAGATGAGAAACTGAGGCACGATGGGCATGTTCCCCTCCCCCACAGACTTAGCCTAGGATGGAAGGTGTGTGTATTAGTTGGGGTTCTCTAGAGGAACAGAACTTACAGGGGGAAAATTTATTATGCACACACACACAGAGTTTATTAGAATAGCTTCAGAAAGTCCAATACTTGAGAAAAATCCACCAGGCAATGGCAGCACACACCTTTAATACCAGAAATTGGGAGGTAAAAGCAGGTGGATCTCTGTGAGTCAGAGGCCAGCCTAGTCTACAGAGTGACCAAAACTACAGAGAGAAACCCTGTCTTGAAACATCAAACCAAAAAAACAAAAAAAACCCAATAATTGTTAAGTCCACAAGGATGCCTCAGCTGGTCTTCAGTATACACCAGAACCCTGGAGAAAGGAGGCTTTAGTGCCAGTGAAGGAGTAGAGGTGCTAGCAAGAGTGAGAGAAGCAGGCAGAGTGCAGGGTCCTTCTCCTCTGACCTTTATGCAGGCTGCCAGCAGGAGGTATGTCCCAGATTAAAGGGGGAGCTTCCTACCTCAAAGATCTGGATTAAAGGTTTATCTTCCCACCTCAGTGATCGGATTAGAAGCGGTGGGTCTTTCTACTTCAAATGATTTAATTAAGGGAAAAAATCCCTCACAGGTGTGCCCAATCTTTTGGTTTTAGTTAATTCCAGATTTAGCCAGTTTGACAACTGTCTTAGTCAGTGTTCTATTGCTATGAAGAGACACCATAACCATGGAAACTTTTTTTTTTTTTAAGATTTTATTTATTTATTATGTATACAATCTTCTGCCTGCATGCCAGCAGAGGGCACCAGATCTCAATCAAGGTTGTTGTGAGCCACCATGTGGTTGCTGGGAATTGAACTCAGGACCTCTGGAAGAACAGTCAGTGCTCTTAACCACTGAGCCATCTCTCAGCCCCACCGAAACTCTTATAAAGGAAAGCACTTAATTGGGGCTGGCTTGCAGTTTCAGAAGTTTAGGCCGTTATTATCATAGTGGGAAGCACGATGGCAGACATGAGCTAGAGCAGTAGCTGAGAGTCTTGCATCCAGGTCCATAGGCACAGAAGGAATAGAGAGATTCTAGGCTTGGCATGGGCTTTTAAAGCCTTACAGCTCACCCCCAGTGACATACTTCCTATCCAGCAGAGCCAATCCCTAGTGACCCCAGCATTCAAATCTAAGAGCCTATGTGGGTCATTTTTATTCATATCACCACAATGATCAAGAATAGCCACCACATCTAGTGTGGTTCAGGGCCAGGACTCGGGTTCTCAGACCCTTGCTCTTTCTCCTGCATCCCTTCAAAGTCAATGAGATAGATGGAGAATAGGGACCAATGGGGGTCAAGGAGGATGTCAGGGGCCTCTGTGATCATCCAGGTACTGGCTTTTTGTGGTTTTGCTAGTTGTTTTCATGGCTTCCTGGGCCATATCTCTGGGATTAGCCATCCCAGATTAATCCAGCACTGCATGTATTATTAGTGGAGTATATAGCTGGAGCTTCTAGCTGTTTCCCTTGGAGCCCAAGACTGCACCTACTCTGCTCTCCAGCCTGTACTGTCTCAAAGGTTGGGTGGAGCTGAGCTCAAGTAGTGGTTGTGGTGGGGTCTTGTAGTCCCTCCCAGCCTCCTGGAGACTGTGTACCATATTTTCCACAGCCAGAAAGAGTATCTATTTATAGCACTCAGAATCTAGCTGTTTTATTTCAAGTTTGGATGGTTTCCAAGGACAGGCAGCTCCAAGCTGGAAGGGACCAGAAGACCCTGCCCATCCCTTGTTCATCCTGATTGGTTGTAGCTTCAGGCATGACTTTAATCCCAGCACTGGAGAGGCAGAGGCAGGTGGATCTCTGTGAATTCAAGATCCAAATAAGAGAGACCCTACCCCCAAAAACTAAAAGAATATTTCATAGAGATCCCTTAACAGTCCCCAACCCCATACACACACACAAACAATTGAACGGGAAGTGTTTATTTGCTTGACGATTCTAGGTTGCAGTCTTATTTCAGAGTCAGGAACTCAAGCAGCTAGTCACATCACATGGACAGTCTGTTTGCTGTCATCCAGCTTTCTCCTGTTTCATACTCAGGAGAACCCCATGCCGTGCTGGGTCAATTAACAATCAATGTCCGTAGGTCAATTGATCTAGGTTGAGAACCTTCCTAAAGCTGTGACCCTTTAAAACAGTTCTTCATGTTGTGATGACCCCCAGCCGTAAGATTATTTTCATTGCTATTTCCTAACTGTAATTTTGCTACTGCTATGAATTGTACTGTAAACATCCGTGTTTTCTTTTTGGTTTTTCGAGACAGGGTTTCTCTGTGTAGCTTTGGAGCCTATCCTGGCACTCTCTCTCTCTGAAAACCAGGCTGGCCTCGAACTCACAGAGTGCTGGGATTAAAGGCATGTGCACCACCAACGCCCGGCCATCTGTTTTCCAATGGTCTTAGACAACCCTTGTAAAAGAGTCATTTGACCTCCTCCCAAAGGGGAGACCCACAGGTTGAGAACCACTGATCTAGATAATTCGTTGGAGATATCCTTCTCAGATTGTGACAAATTGACATTTAAAACTTACCATTGCTGTATCTCTGTTGTTTTCCATGTGGGCCTCGCAGAAAACTAGGGCTTAGGTGGGTTGAAAGAGAGTGGATCAGTATGAGTATACAGTGGGGTGTGTGAATTCGACGTTCGTGGTGTCCCAGTTCTGAGCCCAACTTCTTGGGCTTCTCTAAGGAATCGCAAACTGAGGCTCAGAGAGGGAAAGGACAACCCTGAGGTCAACTAGCAAGTGTGTGGCCAGATTGAGACCTGCAGTCTTTGCTGGCTCTCAGCAGGGTGCTCACTTGCTTGCTCGCTCGTTCGTTCGTTCGTTCATTCATTCACTCACTCATTCATTCATTCATTCATTCTTTCATTCTTTCATTCGTGCCTCTGGGGCTTAACGCCAACCTTTGGCTCGTGTGCTCTTGTCCCACAGGGGGACCCCTATGGAAGGATCCAGAAGCAGGACACCCTAAAAAGGTGCAGCGCTGCGAAGGTGGTGGCCGGAGCATCCCGAGGTCCTCTCTGGAGCAGTGCTCGGATGTGTACCTGCTGCAGAAGATGGTAGAGGAAGTGTTTGATGTTCTTTATAGTAAGAT